TGTGCGGCAGCCCCGTCCCTGAGCACTGCGCTACGGACGGGCCCGGGATTCCGGTAACTGTTGGGTTTATTTATTCCCCCGCCTCGGCGGCGCTCCGGACGGCCTGGCCGGGGCGGGGCGGGCGGCCTGGCGGGCGTAGGGTGGAGGGGCGGCGAGAAGTCAGGTGCAGCCGCGGCCCGGAAAGTTTCCTTGTAGGCCCGAATTGGGGGTTGCCTTCTCTCCGGGGAGCCCCGGTCCTAGCGCCGGGGACCCCCCGAGGGCGTGCGGGAGAGCACTCGGCTGGCTCGAAACTCTTTGCCAGTTCCTGTCCATTCAAGGTACTCCGCCCCTGCACCCCTCGCCCGCGCCCCACCCCACTCCCCGCGATCACCCTCGGGGCTGCCAACTCCCCCCCATTCCCCACGAGCTCGCAGGCCCGGGGAGAAGCCTTCTCTTCCGGTTTGGAAAAGTTTTCAAGGGGTTTTTCTTAGCGTTATTAGTTAGTGACTGGGCTTCGGGGGGTAGGAAGGGAGGAGGTAGGTTCAGGTGCTGTTTCCACTGCACAGTCTTTGCCCGTCGGCCTCCCCCACTTTTTTATATCCCGTACCCCACGGAACAGCCGTGAGGGTGTCACTTGTTCATTTATTACTCCCACCTTTTTTCCCGGACTCCTTTGGGTCTCCCAATTCCCCCGTTCTGGACAGCTCCGGGCAGAAAGATAGTAAGTAGGGGCAGAGAGCAAACTGTCAGGGCGAGGGGCAGGACCAGGCAGCCTTCTGAGCAGTCCCCGGCCCCCCAGTTGTAGGAGATTCCCCTTCTGATTTGGTCATCGTCCGGTAAAACCAACGCAGAAACTGAAGCCATGGGGGACCTCGCTGACAGACGTTGCAGAACATTCAAAATTGGGAGGAAGGAACTGCAGAGCAGGGCTGCTTTTGAAGCATGGTCTACTTGCAGTTTAAGGAGCAGTGATTGGTTTGTTCTGATAATAACCATTTAGCCTTGTGTGATACCCTTAGATGTCTGTCTAGAATTAGAGAAAAGGGGGTTTTAAGACACTGAAAGTTGTGATTGCTACAGCTCAGGGGTCTGTGGAGGAGCCCTGGGAACTGAACATAGACGTTGGCTTTGGCCTACCCTATAAACGAACTCGATTTTGGTTCTGGTTTTGGTGCCATCAACTCTGAAACTTTTTTCCCTTCTTTTTTCTTTCATGTAGTAAACTTAAATTTCAAAACCTAGATTTCCTTCTTTTCAAGGATAGGCTGGCTACAGCTGACTGCCTTCTGGTTGTTGTTTAGTGTTGGAATTGTAGTGTGCATGACCCGGCCACCTCCAGTCCCATCCCTTTTATTAGTTCTTTTTTTTCTTCTTCACTCTTCTTTTCTCAGAGATTTGGTCAGTGTGTGTGTGTGTGTGTGTGTGTGTGTTTGTTTGCATGTTGGAGATTGCTGACAGAGGCAATCCATGTTCTGATCACTCAGTGGTAGAGAAAAACTGCCTGTCAATTGTAGAAGCACGGGGTAATCCATGACTTGGTCTGACTTCTTTCGGGCATCACAGTGAGGCTCCTTACATGGTTCTTACCAAGGATCCTTTGCTTTTGTTGGGCTAAAATAGAGCTCTGCTTTCTCACAGTGTTAGATGACCAGCCATTTAGACTTGTGCCTAAGAAAGTCTTGATATTTCTAGATGGTATGGATTTGGTATTAAAATGCAAATTACATGTAATGGTTGTTTTACATTATTGATTAATTGAAATTGCTTATTGACTATGGCATTTCATGTATGTGTATAGCAAAGCCATTATTCCTGTTATGGCCCTTACTTTTAGAGCAAACCGTATAGAAGAAAACTCATTTTCAGTCCCCCTTCCCAGGATATTTTAAAAGTTGAAGGAAATGTTAATATTTCGTAATATGTTTTTGTGTTCATTTGTTGTGTTGTTTGTTTTTCGAGACAGGGTCTCTGTTGTCCTGAGGGTCTCTTAGACCCGGCTGGCCTCAAACTGAGAGATCCTTGTATTTAATGCTTATCTTCAGCTTCGTGTTCTTTAGAGTTTCAAACACTGTATGTGTACAAATACTAAAAGTTTTATGGTTTTTTTCCTCCACATTCTGTCCCAAACATTTTAATTCCTTGTTGTAACCCATTCATGGGCTGTTTTATTCCTAAAGAAGTGGTAGATTTGTTGTCTTCAAAGTTAATTTTATTTCAAACTAATAAGAGACTTTCTGGGAACATGCTGAATTGTTTTAATTGAAAAGGACTGTCTTTTTCACTATGAGTTGTTTTGTTTAAAAAGTAGATGTTTAATTTATAACTCAACTTTTCTCTAAAAGATTTTATAAAGAAATTTGAGGAGCCCATCTCCATTTATTTTCTTTCCAGAAAATCATATTGCTGCTATTTTTAAAAGTTTATTTTATTTTTGTGTTAGGGTGTTTTGCCTGCAGGTGTGTCTGTGTACCATGTGGGTGTTGTGCTTGAGGAGGCCAGAAGAGGGTGTCAGATCCCCTGGAACTGGAGTTCCAGATACTTGTGCTGGGGATGAACCCTGGGTCACCTGACAGAGCAACCCACGCTCTTGACTTCTGAGCCCTCAGTCTGGCTTCCATGGCTGCTAAGTTTAGAGGATAGAAAATTTGTATTTAGATAGATAGTCTGAAGTGTGAGCTCTTAAAAGTGTTAGTTCAACTAAACACTTTCTTTCCCTTTCGCTAAGATCTTTTGGGCTAGCTCCCGGTATCTCAGTTTGAGGATTTTAGACAGCCTGGCCGTTTGTGTCTAAAGACAGCTTCTTTCCACACCTGATCCTTTGTGAAGCAGTAGGTGAGACTGGCTCAGGGCTGTATTGTAGGGTGAAGACAGCTGTGTTCCCAAAGTGGTCCAAGAGTCGGCCTCTCACTGCGACAGGCATGAGTGGCGTATCCCAGGGGCCCGTTAAGGCTGGCTTTAGGCAGTGCTCCTGGCCATTTTGAGATTTGGGAGAAACAGAAGTTAAAATGTTATGCCTCCTGCCCTGCTTTTCCTCCCCCGATTTCAGGTGACAGACCACTTGGTTCTAATTCTTTCACATAATGTGATTTACCTTATTTATTTATATTTATTTTGGAGACAGGGTCTCAACCTGACACTTACTACTTAGACCAGGCTGGCCGTGGCCTCACAGGTGTCTCCCTGCGTCTGAGTGCTGGCCTTCCAGATGTGTGCTACCATCCCAGCTGTGATTTGTGCTTAAAACTAACCCTTAGCCGGGGGTTGATCAGTGCAAGCCTGTGTTCCAGGACCAGAGGACCTCAGGTTCAAAGCCAGCCTGGCTATATAGCTAACAGCCCACCCCATCCCTCTTTGGAAAACCTCCTTTTTTGGTGGGCTCTGTGTATCATGCCATCATCCAGTTGTATGTGGTTGGAGCAGGCTTTGGGTTGTGCTCTGTTCTGGTCCCATTGCTTCTTAATCTTTGGTGTCTGTAACAGGACAGGGAAATAAAATTCCTTGCTATAAGGATTAGATGCTTCTTCTAACCTACCCTATGTTCTTTAGTAACACCGTCTAAGTAACATCTTGTTTGTTTGCTTTTTCCCTTACCAAAAATAGTACATACTCATACTAGATTTGGAGAGTAGCTCTATCCATCCCGCTCAGGATGGTAGCATTTTAGTGCCTTCTGGTGTTGTGTGAGGGTGCATACAGCTTAAGCTTAGACCCCTGCAGGTAATAGTTATGTACTTTTTTAAAAAAAATATTTATTTATTTATTATGTATACAATATTCTGTCTGTGTGTCTGCTGCCTGCAGGCCAGAAGAGGGCATCAGATCTCATTTCAGATGGTTGTGAGCCACCATGTGGCTGCTGGGAATTGAACTCAGGACCTTTGGAAGAGCAGGCAATGCTCTTAACCGCTGAGCCATCTCTCTAGCCCCCGTTATGTACTTTTGTATTGGCTCAAAGTTTGGGCTTTAGAATCAAATTGGTCTTTAATCCTAGTGTTATGTAACCTTACAATTAAAATGAATATTTCTAATGTAATTGTATTTTATTTGTTTGTGTGTATGTGTGCTTATGCATGTGGGGGTCAGAAGACAACTTACAGGAGTCAATCTTTCTGATTCCACAAAGTTGGTCCCACGGACTGAGCTCAGACCGTCAGGATTGGCAACAGATGCCTTCACCAGCTGAGCCATCCTGGCAACCTTTCAAACTAATCTTATTATTCAAATCAAAAGAAACACTAAGCTGGACAATGGTGGTGCACACTTTTAATCCTAGGGAGGCAGAGGCAGGTGGATCTCTGCATTTGAGCCCAGTCTAGTGTATATAGTGAGTTCTAGGGCTCCATGGGGAGAACTTTTTTTTTATAATAATAATCACAACAGCAATAATTACTACTTTTATTTTAAAAGGCAAGCTGGAGAGATTGTTCAGTGTTTAAGAGCGTTTGCTGCTCTTGCAGAGAACTGTTTGGTTCCCAGCACCCACACTGGGTGGCTCCCAATGGCCTGCTGGCCTGCTGCAGGTGACCCCATGCCCTCCTGGACTCCCGAGAGTACCAACACTCAAGAGTTCGTATATCTGCACGTAGACAATCACAATAAAGCGGGGGCCACAGAGATGGCTCAGTGCTTAAGAGTGAGTGCTGCTCCTAGGGGACCCAGGTTCTATTCTCAGCATGACATTTAATTGCTCATGACTTCAGATTCTGGGACTCAGACACTCCTGAGGTGCGCAAACCCACGCAGACCATACATACTCTCATGATTAGTAATAAAAATATTTTAAAAATTAAAAATTGATTTTATTTTTTAAATTTTATTTAGTTTTTATTTTATGTGCATATGGTGTTTTGCCTGCATGTATATGTCTGTGTGAAGGTGTCAGATCTTAGAGTTACAGGCTGTTGTGAGCTGCCATGTGGGTGCTAGGAATTGAACCTGGGACTTCTGAAAGAACAGCATGTGCTCTTAACTGCTGAGCCATCTCTCCAGCTCCCTAAAAGTGACTTTATTAATAATCTTAGCTTCAGACTGGAACTGGTAGCTTACCTGTAAACTTGAGAGGCTGAGACAGGAGGATCATGAGTTTAATGTCAGTCAGAGCTGTGTTTAGGGCCAGAGTGAGGCTTTGTCTCAGAGAAGTAAAGCTAGTCTCAATTTCTCCGTCAGTCAGCTAAGCACTGGTATCACCTGTTCTGTGTACGGCTGTGGACAACAAAGCTCTGGGCCTTAGAATGGTGAAGGAACGCGTGAGGCTGGTTTGCTTCTTTTAATTTTTTTTTTCCCAAGACAGGGTTTCACTGTAGCTTTGGCGCCTGTCCTGGAACTACAGAGCTCTATAGACCAGACTGGCCTCGAACTCACAGAGATCTGCCTGTCCCTGCTTCCCAAGTGCTGGATTAAAGGTGTGCACCACCACTGCCCGGCTAAGTTTTCATTTTCTTGTGGTACTGGCCACTGAACCCAGGGCCTTGCAGCCTCTACTACTGAAGTGAATTTGAACTTGACATCCTCCATTCCTGCCTATCCGCCCTTAAGATTTAGAGTTCCTTTAGTGACTTTGAGGGCCTGGGTAGGTTGTGGCCTTGGTAGGCTGTGCTGGAGTGACCTGAGAAGGTGACAGGAGTCACTGACTCTGTGTTCATTTATTCCTCTAACAGATCAGCTGTCTTGTGTCAGCACCTAGCCAGGCAATACAAAAACTTTTTGTTTTTTTGTTTGCTTGTTTCAGTTTAAAAAGAAAGACAGAGTCTCCTGCAGGAAGTATGACCTTGAACTTCGGAGTAGAGATTTTAGGCACATACCGTTATTTCTGAGGTGCTGTTTATTGATTATTGAACCCAGGACTTCTGGCTGTTGGTGAACAACTCTACCAAACAACCAAGCCATAGCTCTAGGTAGCTCTTCCTCCCCTCCTCCCCATCATAGAATTTTAGTCTGGTGGAGAAGAAACTTAGAAAACTGATATTTACAGCATTGAATGATACAAAATGGGTAAAACTGGAGGAAGGAAACCTATTTTTCTACTCTGGCATTGCAAGTCCCTAGGAGGGCTTTGCATCAGAGGTTTCTGCCCTAAGCAAATGGGAGCAGTTAGGTATTTCAGGAGGTGGGACCTGCAAGTATGAATAAATGCCTAGGGACAATAGAGTGTTCTGTGTTGCAAATTGTGGCTCTTTGTGGCCTTGGACCAGGGGAGTGGAGACTTAGTGGAGGCTCAAGTTCCTCAGCTGGGGTAAGGAGTATGGATTTCTTTAAAACTTAGAAGATCTCAGGGTCTTTGGTCAAGTATATTACTTAAAATATAGTAGATTGGAGTAGTATAAAGTGTAGGTAAAATAAAGGGGGGCAAGACTGTATGGAATTCCAGTAAGGCGGTTCCCCAGAAGACAGAGGGTTTGAACTAAGGTAGCTGTGAGCCAGAGAACTGACTGTGGCTAAGGCCTCTTAGAGGGTAAGAGGCCCCGGAAGTGTGGAAGTGTGGCTGCGTGGAGGCGCTGGCGGGTGGGATGGAAGGACTAGGCGGCTTTGATAGTGACTGTCGGGAATGAAATAGATTTGTGTGCATGGACGGTCTGCACACTGGTTTGAAATCCTGGAGTCAGATACACATTAAAAATGGCAGTAAGTGCCCTGAAAATGCTCTGTGTGACTTAGACTTTTGTGTGTAACTTGGTGACTTTGTAGGAACAGATTATAAGGTAATTCGGCTTTGGATGTTTAGAAATCTCAACCGGCTGCTGACCGGAAAATGTTAAATTCTGAGAGAAATCTTAAATCCTGGAAACCTGGAAGGTCTGGATGTAGGACTGGATTTCAGTTCTTAGTTTCTTTGTTGTATTAAGAAAAGGTCTCAGTTGGGCAGTGGTGGCACACACCTTTAATTCCAACACTCAGGAGGCAGAAGCAGGCGGATCTCTTGAGTTCGAGGCCAGCCTGGTGGTCTTTAGAGCGAGTTCCAGGACTGACTTCATAGCTTCTGAGAAAACTTGTCTCGAAAAATCTAAAGAAAGAAAGAAGGAAAGAAAAAAGAAAGAATTAAGGAAGGAAGGAGAACGTGTCTCCCGCAGTTCAGGGTGGCCTTGAACTGGTAGCCAGTTTCCCACCCAGCTGGTTTTCTTTTTTCAGACAGTGTTTCACACTAGTTCTAGATGACCTGGAATTCACAGACTTGAATTTACAGCAATCCTCCTGCCTCAACCTCTCTAACGTTGTAGATTACAGGTATGAGTCTCCACATCCTGTGAGGTCTGTTTTTTTGTTTTGTTTTTTTTTTTTATTCAGTAACTTGCTGAAACTTGTTTGACTTTGAGTCTTCAGAAGAGCAGTTTGCTGAAGTCTGCTTGTAGCCCATGTCTGCCCCCATAGGCCTTTCATCAAGGGCCATATACAAAGAAGCTTGGCCCGCAGTGCCTGCTGGGCGGGAAGGCAGGGGGCACAGACTGCTGAGGCCAGGAGAGAGAGGTTTCCAAGAAACAGTGGGCTCGAGTGTCACGTGCTCCAGAGAATTCTAGTAGAGAAGGAAGGGAGAGTGGATGGACTCGGTAGTGGAAGAGCCATTAAGTCTCGGATTCTTAGAAAAAAAAAAGGCGGGGGGTGGGGTCTGAGTTCAGCTGCAACTTACTTTTTCTCCTTTCTGGTCCTGCAGTGCAGGATTTCCTGAAGCAGTCATGACCGGGGCCCCAGGATCCAGTAAGCATTTGTTGTAAGGAATTACTAACTGGCACTGATGACTGTTCTAATCAATCAGCCGTGTGCGTGTACTCCAGAGTTACCAGGGACTCACACCTATGCTCTCCGTGTGTGGGAAGAAGCAGTGCCCCAAGCCCCAGACACCGTGCCACTTGTTAGTTTTGTTTTTTTTGAGACAGTTTCACTGTGTAGCCCTGGGTGCCCTGGAAATTACCATGTAGACCAGGCTGGCTTTAAATTCACAGAAAGGCACCTGCCTCTGCCTCTGTTAGTGTTTTCTATCTGAAGAAAATCAGTCCCTAAGTGCTCTTTACAGATGTAGAAAGCAGTTTTTGGATCTAGGTTTCTAGTGTGGATCGCAGGAGAAACTTCTCAGTGTACTCTATAACTCTAGCCCAAGGAGGCAGGAGGGCTTGAGTTAGTGGAGAATTCCACTGTACCGTTCAGAAAACCACTAGCGGCTGGAAGAGGGCATTTTCGCCCTGCAGACTGGAGATGAAAATGATAATACTAATAAACTACCACTTACTGCTTCTAATAGCAGTTAGCATTAAGTGATTACTATGTGCTGGGTACCATGCTAAGCATGGGTTCTTGAAATACCTAATTTAATTCTGCTAAGCAACTCAATGGGTACATACAATTATCTTCCCTTTACAGATGAGAAAATTGACCAGATTTGAGCCCCAACCCTGATCCTTCCAGAGGCAATGAGTGATTTCTCTGCTGCTTAAACTGCCTTTAACCTTTCTCATAAGTCAGGTAAGGCCATTTAATTTAAATTCATAATGTGAATTTATTTGTACACTTACCTTTTAAGGAGTCTTGGGCACATGCTAGATATTTGATAAACACTTCTTTTTAAATTATTTTGGCTCGCACTTGATTATGACTATTTTTGGGAGAAGGGCAGTTTTCTTTTTTAGTCATATCAGTTGATATATTTTTGTCTTCAGTCAAATTTTACTACATTTTACACTGATGTGTGGACTTTAGGTTTTAAAAATTAGTATATTTTAAATTAGTTAGATTTATTTTATTTTTTCTTGTTCAAATTACACTCAAATTCATTTTATTTTATTACTTTTTAAATTGTTTTAATGTGCATTGGTATTTGTCCGTGTGAAGATGTCAGATCTCCTGGAACTGGAGTTACAGACAGTTGCGAGCTGCCAGGTTGGTGCTGGGAATTGAACCTGGGTCCTCTAGGAAAACAGCCAGTGCTCTTAACTGCTAAGCCATGTCTCCAGCCCTTTAAATTCATTTCTAAAAGATGAAGTGAAAGAAAACCCTGACGTTTGAGTAGAGACTGAGTTAGCGGCGGCTGCCCCTGGATAAGCAGATGTTCTCATCTGCCTTCATTTGTTAGAATTACAGTGGCAGCTGGAGAAAGGTGCTGTGGCCCTGGAGAAAGCACATTTTTGAAACAGAATTAAAAGAATGGCAGTGACTTGGAGAGGGACACATGAGTGAGGCATGTGTCCCAAAGACAATAAATAGTGTTCAGATTTTTTTGTTGTTTGTATTTTGAGACAGAGTCTCTGTGTAGCCCAGGCTGTTCTGGAGCTCACTCTGTAGGCCAGGCTGTCCAGGAACTTGCTCTGTAGACCAGACTGACCTGGAACTCTTGTCCTGTTTTGTGGCTGTATTCCCTAAATACTTGCCCACCTCCTAACTGCTGTATGTGCTTTCTTCTGTGTTTCCAAGAAAGAACTGTGGCAGTGAGCTATGTTTTATTTAGATAATGTCTGTATCTAGATATAATTAATATCATAACATAGCATCCAGAAGGACTTTCTATGTTGTGTCAAGACATATGTAGTCCTGGATGGCCTTGAACTCAACTGAGTAGCCCAGGTTGGCATGTGATTTTGTGACCCTACTGCTTCTGCCTCCTGCTTTGATCCAGGTAGTACAGCCATGCTTGGCAACTTGAAGAAAAAAAAAATTTTACATGTAGCCCCTATTTCTCCCTTCTGAATTCCAGTATTTTGATGTTTTTGTTGTGAAAGGTGACTGTGATCTGCTCTCAGTAGCAGCTCTTTGTGCATTTGGACAATAACTAAGAGTTCATTATTCAGTGTTGATTATTCATTACTTTACATTCTCTCCTTGAAGGAGCAGAGGTCCCTTTATATTCTTCATTTTTAGAATTTAAGTTATTTATTTTTGAGACATGGGCTCAGCATGTAACCTCAGGTGGCCTTGAACTAGCTCTGTAGACCAGGCTTGCCTGGAACCCACAGAATCTCTTTAAATTTGAAGCAAATTATCCATAGCTAAAGATGATGGCCATTAGATCTGTTAGTGACTGATTTGATTGGGTCTCCTAGCCCAGGAGTGCCTCTGACGTGCTGTGTACAGGCTGCTGCTGGGGTGACAGCTGTGCCACCTGCCCAGTTTGTTTGTTTGTTCTTTTGTTTTTGTGTTTCAAGGCAGGGTTTCTTTGTGTAGCCCTGGCTGTGCTGGAACTGGCTTTGTAGATAAGGCTGGCCTTGAACTTGGAGATTCTTCTATCTCTGCTCTGTGTTCGGTCAAAGGCATGAACCACCTCTGCCCTCACTTCCCCCAGCTTTTTTAAGAAGTATTTTTTTTTATTTTATATGAAACAATAGAGCTTAGTTTTAACTTTTTGTCATCATGAATTAGAAAATCTAGTAGATTTTCTACCCCCACCCCTTTTATTTATTTATTAAGAATTTCCACCTCCTCCCCGCCTCCCTTTTCCCTCCCCACCTCCCCCTTCCTCTCTTGTCCTAAGAGCAGTCAGGGTTCCCTGCCCTGTGGGAAGTCCAAGATCCTCCCCCATCCATCCAGGTCTATAAAGGTGAGCATCCAAACAAACTAGGCTCCCACAGTCAGTCTATGCAGTAGAATCAAAACCCAGTGCCATTGTCCTTGGCTTCTCAGTCAGCCCTCATTGCCAGCCACATTCACAGTGTCCATTTTGATCACATGCTCCATTACTCCCAGTCCAGCTGGCCTTGGTGAGCTCCCATTAGATCAGTCCCACCATCTCAGTGGGTGGACGCACCCCTCGTGGTCCTGACTTCTTTGCTCATGTTCTCCCTCCTTCTGCTCCTCATTCGGACCTTGGGAGCTCAGTCCAGTGCTCCAGTGCCCCCACCCCTTTTGTGAGCCTGGGATTGAACCTACGGCTCTGAATAACCCAGGCAAGTATTATGCCACCAAATTACAGTTCCCCCAACCATTCAAAAACTGCAAAGCTTCCAGTTTATGTAATTTTCTTTGGTGTTTGACTTTGACTGTAAGAAATAATTATATAGATTTTGTGAAGTACCAATTTAGTGCTTTTTAACTTAAATAGAATGTTGTTGGGGTTTCTGTCCTGCTCAGTTCCTGCAATTGCAATTGTTGAGTCCCAAAGAAATCACACAGAGGTCTACATCAACTATAAACTGATCGGCCCATTAACTCAGGCTTCTTATTAACTCTTTTATATACAGTTTTCTGACTGCATGTATGCCTGCAGGCCAGAAGAGGGCACCAGATCTCATTACAGATGGTTGTGAGCCATCATGTGGTTGATGGGAATTGAACTCAGGACCTCTGGAAGAACAGTCAATGCTTTTAACCTTTGAGCCATCTCTCCAGTCTCTTATTAACTCTTATAACTTATATTAGACCATTATTCTTGTCTATGCTAGCCACATGGCTCAGTACCTTTTTCAGCGAGGCAGCCATATCTTGCTTCTTCTGTGGTGGGCTCACAACTGCTGAGGAATTGGCTTCCTCCTTCCCAGAATTCTCCTGTTCTCCTTGACCTGCCTCTACTTCCTGTCTGGTTGTCCTGCCTATACTTCCTGCCTGGCTACTGGCCAATCAGGATTTATTTGAAACATAATTGACAGAAATTAGACCATGGTCCCACACCAATAGAATCTAAGCAAATAATAACTCTTATTTTTCACATTTGTTTTGGGAGGGAGTGCATGTGTATGAATGAAACATGAATGCATGTTTCATTCAGTTTCAATTAAGACTGTATTGGGGACTGGAAGGATGACATAGGAAGTGCAAACCCGAGGACCCTAGTTCAGGTTCCTGGAACCCATGTTAAATACAGACTTGGTGACATGTAGCTGTGATCCAAGTCCTCCCATGCAGAGATGGGAGGCAAAGACAGGAGGCTCCTGCAGGGCTCTCCTGGAAGTTTGCAGGCCAATTGGCCTGGAGCATGATGTGCAGTGGAAAGTGGAGACTGACGCCAGTCTGACTGCCGTGCACATGCTGTGATGTGTGTGCTATGGCACGTGCGCATCCTCACATACACACACACACACACATCATGTATACCCAAAGCTACAGAAATAGTTTGATAGAAGTCTCTGCATTAAGTGTGCACTAGTTGGGATTTGCTAATGCTCAGGAGACTTGGCCCTCTGGGAGGTTTCTTCTAGGAAGTAAGGGCAGGATGGGCAGTTTACACAGGGAAGGTGTTGGGTGCCTGAGCTGAGCCACATCAAAGCAATTGACTCAGACTGGTCTAGTCAAGCTGGCCTTGAACTCCCAGAAATGGTTTTGCCTCTGCCTCCTGATTGCTGAGGTTAAAGGCATGTGACACCATGCCTGAACTGTATTTTTCAAGATGGGTTAGTGGGATTGGAGAAATGGCTCAGCAGTTAAGGTTGTGCACGGATCTTGCAGAGGACTGAGCTTAGTTTTCAGTGCTTATGTTGGGTAGTTAACACATTCCTGCACTCCACCTGCACTCACATGTCTATACAAACATACAGACATACATACACATGGCGGGGGTTGGGGGGAGACGGACAGAGAGTTTTTGAAAACCCTAGCCAGTCATGATGTCACACATTGTAGTCCCAACACTTGAGAAGTAGACGCAGGAGGGTCAGAAGTTCAAACTCTTCCTTCATTACTTAGAGAGTTACATGCCAGAATGGTCTATCTATGACCCTCTCTCAAAAAATCAAAATGAAACAAGATGAAATTAGAAAATAGATATCTATTATAAAGTAATTGTGTTGTAAACAAATTGGTTTACATTATAAATATTTTATGATTTTTATTGTTATGGGGTATTAAAATCTTTTTATAACTATGTTTGTGTGTGTGTACGTGTGTGTGGTCCATTCCGTGGGGACGGAAGTCACATGGTCGGGCTTTCCCCTGTGCGCCTGCTCAACTCACTGTTCCATTAAGGTGTATTTTACTACACCGATTTTATTTACTTATTTTTATTTATTTATTTATTTATTTTGTTTTCAAGGCAGGGTTTTTCTGTGTAACCCTGGTTCACAGAGATCTGCCTGCCTCTGTATAACCCTGACTGGCCCGGAACTTGCTGTGTAGACCAGGCAGGCCACATATTCACAGACTGCCTCTGCCTCCCAAGTGCTAGGGTCAGCATGTACTCCCACTTCTGGCCTATGCAGATTTTCCTAAAGCTATTTCTGATTAACCATGGTAGTGCACTTATATCTGGCTTTCTCTTCTTTTAAGCAACTGCAGAAACCCACAAGAAGCCCAGAGTGTGTTGACCAGCACTGACTGTAGCTAGGCAGTGTGAGTTAGCGTCTGCATGCAGTGGTCCTGAACCAGATGAGCAGGTGTCCAGTGAGGGAAACAGCTCTCCACCACGGGCCTGGCACAGCCTGAGGACAAAACCAGTAGCGTCATGCTTGCAGTGGCCACGTTGGCTCTGTACGTTGGGCTCTCAGACCAGCAGGGCAGGCGAGGCTTGGCAGTGAATGGCAGCTCCTCCGCTTTGCAGCATATTC